GTTTCTTGTTACTAGTAGTAAGGCACTTGTTACTAGAAGCGATGCACACCCTTCATTCTACAAATACATATATTTTGCAACTAGAACCAGACTCCGCCCAAGCAGCATTGCATTGCAGGATAGAATTCAAAAGAGTCTCCTTACCCGAGTACCAAGCCACGATGTTTGCCACATTTGTCAGGAGCACATGCTGGATTCAGGCAAGAGAAAGAAATTGTCGGTTTGCATTTCCTTCACAAATTGGCTGCAATCTTCAGGTACGTCAGTGTCATTTGCTGGACAACATGGATACGGGAAGCGCCATGTAAAAGCACCGCAGGAGGCCGGAACCGTGCATGGATGATTGCAGGAATTTGAGTACCAAGAAGTGCAAGGTGTTGAGTTCTGATTTGTCAGGTAGGCTTTGTGTGTTTTGCCGCAAGCCCCCACACGCGGAGCTTAAAAGATCAGAGCTGCTGGAGGTTTACAATACCCGAAGTCTGGGGTTGTGCAGAGCTCTCCAATAGACAAAGAGTCATAAAGATGATATCAATACAAAAAGACACGCGTACACCCTATATGGTCTAGAGGATTGTTTAGATGTGGCTCGATGCTTTGCGGCTCTAAACGTGTAACGTGTGTATGTATATATATATATATAGATATAGATATTGGCATGGGATCATGACATATTGTCGAACATGGGAGTGAATAGACATATTGAGTCACTTGGCTGGCCAAGTAAACAGTGAATGCTGAAGCCGCCAGACGTAGACCTTAGAAGCTAGCCCAGCCTGCTGAAGTGCAGATAATCGATAGATAGATTTATGGAGGCATGGGGTTTGCCGTTTGCTCACCCCCAGCAAGCAAAATTGTGCCACCCCACGCTTGAACAACTGCGAAGAGTTTGGGGCAGATTGGTCCAGAGTTTCGTTATATAAGTATGTATTTAGATCTCTATCTATAGTATCAACCTTCTTGCCACATATCGTTAGGTGTGTCAACGATGATCAGAGTATTTGACAGGAGTCTCTCGACTTGTTCAATCGCAATGGTGATGTTGATGATCGGCTTTGGGGTAGGTCAGACACTGAGTTTAGATTCGACCTTTGACAACACCTGTCGGACAGCATCCGTGGGTTGACTGGGTTGACTGTGCAATTGCATCAATCCTGCCGAGAAACATGACTACAATAGGCCAGATAGGCGTACACCGCATGCCCCCAAAATAAAAGTGAATGGTCTTGGGATCAATGATAGTGAAGAAATCAAATAAGTCCAACTGCCGAACAGCATTCCGTGGCAAGCAATTTGCCCCTTTGGTCTATCCTGAGGAATGGCCCAGTAGCCAGGGGACCTTCTCCAAGAAGGCTTCCCACGTGTCTGATGTTTGTCACATTGCAGCCTGTGCAAAAGCATGGGGAGAGGTGACGCATGTGCGTTCATCAAAGTTGCCAAAGGAGAGAGGTGACGCACACGACGTGGCAGGGCCAGGATTCACCAGAGGCACCGATTCACCCAAAGCATATATATATATATTTCTGTGTTCCGTTTTTTCTTGTGTTAGCCCGCCCTCACTTAATTAAGTAGGCGCCTATTTGATTAATTAAGAAGGTCAACGCGCTACTAGCAATAGGAAGCTCCTACATATGGACGCAGGATAGCTCACACTTCTTCAAGGAAGCTCCCCCTGGCAGAGGGCGGGGGGAGCTTCCTTGAAGAAGCGCTCGCACTGTGACTTGGTTCCTGGATTTTTAGGGAAACTCCCAGCAGTTGTGTGCAATGAAGCCAGTACAAAGTGCAGCTTAAAATTTCAGGTGCTGATGCTTCATTTGACGGGATGGATTTGGGAGCACCAGTCAAACTCATAAGTCATAATGATTGTTCACAAGTTTCATGTAAATGCTTGGAAAGAAGTACAATGCTGATTTAGCTGACCTCTCAAACGTGTGCGCCAATTGGAGCTTAGTGTGTCTCAAGGAAGTGGGGCTCAAGTTGTTCAACCAATCATAGCATGTTTGAGAAGCAGTCCCATTTTCTATGAAGCCCCTTAAAGAAACAGCTGGAAGACGTGTCCCGTCGTGCTGGAAAGGCCAAAGTGGTTTCAAGATTCGAGATGAAATCTTCGATAGAGGAGCCCATGGCCCATGAGCAAAGCGCATGTTGTAAGCAAAGTGATTTTGAAGCTGAACAGGAGTGTCTTGCTGAGATGTTTGGGATCACTGTGGCTGATGCGAAGAAGTGGGAAGAGGTGTTTCAATGGCCTTCTCAAATAAATAGCGTTGCTTGGCAGTGCGGCCACAGGCCAAAGTAGAGCACAACGGCATATCCTGGGTTGTGCACACACTGAATCTGGAGGCTGGACTGCCCATGTTCCACCGGCACCTGTTACGTATTTCCTTGTCATAGCAGCATACAACATGATGAGTCAACGGCTTGGTTTGCCTGAAAATCATGACAGGTTCATGTCATCGGCATCACAACATTATCATTGGTTACAGAACATGGTCTTGTCACGACAGTGGCATCGGTTGCGGAACATTGTCATCGGATGTCATCGGCTTCACAACCTCGGTTTGAGTGTTTTCTTGATGTGATTGTGAGTTCGGGCACACCCCTCATTACCCAACATGATGCAACGTGTGCTAGGCTGTGTCATTGTCCAAAGAAGGGTCCACAGCTAAAGCAATAGCAGAGAAGCTCTCAACGATGCCGTCCAAGTCCAAGTGGAGCTGCTTGTGCTGCCTTCATGGCACAGACACAATGAGCCAGTGGGCGATTGAATCTTTTTTGTGGGTTGGCAAGCATAGCCAGAAATTTGATTGAAATTTGTACACAGGATGACCGAGCTTCGACACTTTGGATTGCGCTTCATGGTGCCGGAGAAGGAGGCATAGCACATCACAGCATCCTTTTGGTTTGGCGCAGATCTCAACTGTGTGAAACTCCGTGAGGTCAAGGAGGCTGAGGATGTTCAACCCTTTCAATCCCAAGGCCGTGTTTGACATGTCTTTCCTGATTCAGAAAGATTCGGTGGCAGGGTGCACCAATGCATGGAAACACACATCTCCCTACTGTGTATGGGTATTTGCCATGCCCCTTTCATGTGTTTCCTGTGTGTCCTGCAATGCTCTCCCCACCTCGTTGAACAAGCGGGCGTCAAAATGCGTTTCAGGTGTGCCCCCTGGCAGAAGCAAGGCAAGCAATGGGAATTGCAGTTTGCCTGTTGTTAGACTTGATTCCGAGAGGTGGCAGCTGGCGCTGCAGGCTGATTTGCTCGCTTGGCACTTTTCGGTCTTGTGCCAGAGTAAATGGCTTTGAGGTCTTACAGAGCAGAGAAGCCTCGAGGCAGACCAATCATGGCACCCAACCGCGGGAAGACATAGAGTGTGAGATGAGCAAGGGCTTGTTTGGTCTCGTGGGTGGTCACACTTCGTGAAGCCAATCCAGGAAAGTCGAAAGCGCTACATATCCTCTGGGAAGGAGATTGTATTTAATGTAACAATTTAAAGATACAAATTGTTGCCAGATGTTGCTAGCATGTCAAGTTCAAGATAGATCCATCCAGGACAGCTTCAAGATCCTTTGTCAGTCACAAGTTGACGCCAGGGCCTGGAAGCAGGGTCTTGTCTGGGACCTGCATCAGTTCTTGCTTCGATTGAGGCCCCTCAAGGAGGGCGGCGCTTTATTGGAACAAGGCTCAAAGACTGGTTTGGGCAGACAAACAAAGTACGACGACCATTTGCCAGGGACAACCTGGCAAGCGGCGTGAAAATCAAAGACGACGTGAAGGCCTAGAGTTTGCGAGAATGATGCGAGTGATCAACTTGGACCTCGCAGATCTTCAATGGTCAATATGTTTCCTGGCAGGACCGAGGATTTGTCCCGATGCGAAGGGCTGGCTATGCCATGAACCATACAAGTGCCCTAGACAGCATGAAGCCTGATGCACACAGCTCACGTGCATGTTTACTTGCATGAGGTGACCGGTTGTGGTGATGGCTATGGCCGATATGAATCGTTGTTTCAATACATGCATCCTGCAGCCCGGGAATTTGCTACTGCAAATATAAATAGTTTGTGCAAATATATACATATATAATATAATTATGTATCATATATATATATAATATATTGATGAGTATAGAATTTTATGCGAATCCGAATTATTGATTGCGATTATATATGGGATTATACTAAATTTTAGGATTATTATGTGTGTTTATTACAGAAATCACGAAAGCTAGCGAAGTTAGTTGGAATTACTCTTGCGATAGTAAGGTTTCTTTCGATCGGGTGCAAATCTTAACCCTTGATATTTTAGGTCGAAGACCCTCTTTTTATCTCCTCTTTTTCCCCTTCCTTTCTCTTTACTTCCCCTCTCCCCATTTCCTCCCCTTCCTCTTCTTTCTTTTCTCCACCTCCCCTTTCTTTACCTCCCCCCTTTTTTTCCTCCTGGTCTTTTTCCTATCTTCTTTCTTTCTTTCCTCTTCGTAAATTCGATTCCGTTTTGTCGTCGTTTTTTGGCATGCGATTAGCGTTGCGTATTTTGCGGCCGTATTCGCTCATTTTTATTGTTTTATTGTTTCTTTTATTTCTCTTAGCTCTTTTATTTTTTTTTTATCTCTTTTATTTCTTTTTCTTCTCTTTTTCTTTTTTTTCCTCTTTGTCTTTCAAAGAGCCACATATAAAGGATTCTTTATCCTTGCTTCTAAAAAGAGCGTCGTGTTTTTTTCTTAACTTCGTTGCTTTTTATTTTCTTATTTTGGAGCTAGCTTTCGCTTCTCTCTTGGCCTTAAGTGTATATGCTTAATTTATATGATATTATTATAATATATTTTTTTTATTTTATTTAAACAAAAATTGATAATATTAAAATTATAATATGAGGCGAATATTCGGATTAATTTGTTTCGAATGGTATGAACTTGTGCTAGATGAGGTGTGCTTTTGGGGAAAGATTGGGCTAAATATTTGTATGTATGTTGTTGTTAATTATAGATTGAGAATTTTATTAAACCGCAAGGGTATATTGTTGATTCTGTTTTAAGTTTATTGTATTCTTAAGTGTGCCGTTGCGATTTTATATTTTTGGCTTTATTATATTGTAATTAGGTATTTTTAAATAATCGTTGCGAAACGGTGTCTTTAAGCAATTTTCTGTTTAGGAATGTAGACGATTATTGCTTGGTTATTTTATATTGTGTATTTTTTTTTTTGCGGACTAGTGTTTGGAATATAACTAACTTGAAGTTGCGCTTCTTAACTAATGTTGGGACAGAAAGGGGGCAGGCCTTATTTGCGTCGTGCATTTGTTTCTGTATATTGGGTGCCTGTATTTACCCCTATCGTGATCGCGATCTCGGATGGAAGCCGATGTGCCATTGGGGAGCCATCAAAGCAGTGCAAACTAGAAGAGATGAGCAACATATGTCTCCATCTTATTGATGCTAGATCTGCGTGGAACATTGGCTTTTTCGCGTTCACACTGCAATGTCTGGGAAACCAGTATACCATTGGGGTGAGCTATCGAATTATATGAAATTGAATTTGTTTCTAGAGGTTTTTTGTCAACCCATAGTTGAAGCCTTTTCAAGAAGGCCCCATCTCTATCAAAGCGGATGAGCGAGGAGCAGTCTGATTGGTGTTTTTGAGAAGTCGTTGCGAAGCGTGTCCCCACATAGTTGCGTGTCTAGGGGTGGAGGCATTTGTTGTTTGGTAATCTATGGTATATAATCAATATAATATATGTCGGATTTGTTGCTGTTGGTTTGCTGCTGGTTGACTGCTACTGGTTCGCTGCTGCTGCAGGTCTGCTGCTGGTTTTCTGCTGCTGTTGCCTTGCTGCTGCTGGTTGGCTACTGCTGCTGCTGCTGGCGGTTGGCTGCTGTTGGTTTGCTGCTGGTTGGCTGCTGCTGCTGCTGGTTAATTGCTGTCGGTGCTGCTGCTTGCTGCTTGGTTGTTGCTGGTGCTGCTGCTTGCTGCTTGCTGCTGTTTGTCGCTGCCGCTGCTCCTACTCATTTGTTGCCTGTCATTGTTTTGCACGCCCCCTATGATTATAGCAGATTTCTTCCATTGCAGATTGGGTATTGGAAACCTGATTTCAAGCTTGGTGGCAGGCCTGTTTGGTGAAACGCTGGTTAGCTGCTGCTGGCTTGGTGCTGCCTACTGTTTGGCTGCTGCTGGTTTGCTGCTGCCGGCTTGCTGCTGCTGTTTGGCCGCTGCTGGTGGGATGCTGCTGGTTACCTTCTGCTGCTGTTGGGTTGTTGGTGTTGTTTTGCTGTTGGTTGGCTGCTTGCTGCCGCTGCCGCTGCCTGCGCTACAAAGCCTACTCATTTGCTGCTGGCTGTTGTTGCACAAACCCTATCATTGTGGCAGTGTTGTAAACTGGGCTTGGAAAGCATGGTTTTGGCTTAGATGGCCTGTTTGGTGACGCGGTGTCCCATGCAGAAATTAAGTGCTGCAAGGACTCTGCCGTAATTTAGTCGTGGTGGGGTGTCACAGTGTGATTTGCTTGCCGCAGCTGCTTTGCAAGGACTTTCGCGTCTGGGTGGTTACCCTCGAGGTAGGAACTTAAAGGTGGTGCCAACATGTGGGTCAGAGGTGTGCCATGGGGGTTGGACCATGGCAGTCCATAGGAAACCTTAGAACCCATCAACATGTAGAAGATTGAATTGCAATGGAATGGTGTAGGTTTAGAAACAATCTAGGCTAAGAGAACAAGTGCTTGTTCCGAAGCGGTGTGCCATGGGGATTGGGAGAGGAAAACACGCAAGAATGAATAGATATATGTTTGAAGTTCCATGCTGTTTGCACTCTATGTAGAAACTGAAAGCTGGTACCAACATGTGGGTCAGAATCGGTGTGCCATGGGGATTGGATCACGGCAGCCCACAGAAAACCTTAGAAAACATCAACATGTAGAAGATTGAATCGCAGTGGAATCGTGTAGGTTTAGAAACAATCTAGGAGAAAAAGTGCTTGTTTCGAAGCGGTGTGCCATTGTGTTTTCCAAATGGGGTAAGTTCTTACATTCGTGGGGTAAGCGGTGTGCCATGGGGGTGGATCAAGTTCATGTGCGATTGGGTAAGTTACCACGTCGGGTCGTAAAACGAAGAATAAGAGGGCCTATTTATGTATGATAATTAATATAATATTGTTGAGTTAATGGTGTTTGGGCGGGATGTCGTGGAATGATCTTTCTAATTACATTAATCTGGAGGAGTGTCGAATATAATAGAATTTTACTATATTTTTGATTTCTTTTTGTAGAAAAGCTAAAAACCGTTATTCCGATTAAATTAAAACCAAAAGTAAAAATATATGCGCGTAAAAATGTATTTATAGAAGTAAAAATTAACGATATTCGATTCGGATATTATATTAATATTGTATTTTATTTTATTTTGTTTGAGAGAAATATTTAGTTGGTGGAATTTGGCGTGTTTGATTTTTGTTAGTTTACCTTCGTATTGGTAGAAATATGCATATTTTATTGATTCGATTAGGATTAAATCTCCTTTTCATTTTTAGGCGAACTTGTTTCTTTTTATCTGTATGTATGTTTATTGCAATGGCCGCAGCATTGTTGGATTGAGGTTGTAATGGGGATTGGTAGATTTATTTTGTTCTACTCTCTCCTTCCCCAATTTTTGGTGGCCTTTGGCACCCCACCCTGTAGCATCTCCCTTGGCATTGGCGATCCTTCAATGCTTATGATCATTATATTTCCATCATTCCCGACACATCCCGACGGATCCCCACAGATGTTTTCTTTAAAGATTTGTTATTTACGTACTATATTGACAATGATGGGGTCTGGCCCAAGACTTTATTCGGGCGTTAGCCTCAGAGCGTGCGAGTGAGTGTGAGTGAGCGTAAGTGAGAGTGAAGGTGGGTGTTAGTGAGTGTGGGTGAGAGGGAGAGTGTGTGCGAGTGAGAGTGGGAGAGTGAGTGTGAGTGAGTGCGAGTCTGAGTGAGAGTGAGAGTGGGTGCGAGTCAGTGTGTTATTGTACCTGTCACGAAGTTAGAGTTCGTTGAAGATCACCACCGTGTCCAAAGTGTTGTACCTGCCACATTTCGAAGAAAAACAATTCCGATTCCTTGCACCTGTTACGAAAAGTCGATTTTGGAGCACCAAAAACGAGGTTCCTTTGCGCCTACCACGAAAAGATATAGAATAGAAAAGGATGATAGTCAACATAGATCCCACCAAGCGCACACAGCAGCGACACCCTGCAACGCACTATTATATTTATTTGCGGACATGAATAATTTTATCATTATAATTTATATTTAAAAAATAAATTACATAAAGTACATTCAAATATATCATTAAAAATAACAATACCGCCTAAATTTAGTGCTAAAATCGATATTGTTTTTCTATAAACAATAATGTTGGATGTTAATTAGCAAATGGGTCCTCAATAATGCGATTTTTTAAAAATTATTGAAAAATATGACCTGAATAATACCAATCTATTTTTTAGGTCCTAATTTTTATATTGGATCTTAATAAGGATTTGAATTCCTTATGAATCTTTTCCGAGGCAAGCAGCCAACAACAAAGCAAAACACAAACAAATAGACCACCAAGAAGATATTAATTAACTATACCCTTAGTCCTTGGTGAAAGAAAGCCTGCTTCTTGACCTGAATTGCAAAGATATTTAGGGTTAAATATATTTCCTTTAGCAAAATAGAAATATTAATCTTTAATATTATTATTGTAAGCCAATAATTTTTCTGAAAATGTTGATAAATATAGGTGTCTATAGTTGTTCTTCAAAATTAAGAATTTCTTAAAATTATCAATTCCCTAGTCATTCCTTTATATAAAGAGTGTTTCTAAACAAATTTTCAAGGTAATAGACGAAGAAGGCACGTAATCCTCAATAATGAATTTGCTTTAAAGATTTTTAATTATATAATAATTTTATGAACAAATATATAAATAATAATTCTTAATGTTTGGCTTGCTGAGGGCATTGATAAATATAGATTTCTATAATGTTTTTCAATAAAAGACAATTTCTCAAAATCATCAATTCCCTAATCAATCTTTTATGCAAAAATTATTCCTA